GTCCAAATATGGGAACGGAGGAGGGGCGGAACTTGAGGGTTCGGCGGTGCTTTTCTTCTTGGAAGCCTTAGACTTTGATCTTCCTCCGGCCATGATTGAGGCGTTTTTGAAGAAAGATTGAAGAAATATTGAGATTTGGATCAAGGAATGAAATTATGATGTTAATGGTGTATTAGAATGAGCAAATATGAGGGATATATATAGGGAATGGGAGATTAGGCCGTTTGGATTCAAAAATATAGCTGTTGGGCAATTAATGTGGTGCCCAACGGCTCTGAATTTTTGAAATGCAGGTGCCTTCCCAGCGATGGTAGGATCTACCCATCGATGGGAAGGTCACCACTGGAAAGCGAGGAAGGACCCAAGGCTGCCTTCCCAGCGATGTTTGGATTTTCCCATCGATGGGAAGGTGGCTTCTGGAAATTGACGAAGAAAAGAGCAAAGCCTCCCCAGCGATGTTAATACCATCCCATCGCTGGTTTGGTAGTTTTGAAAATCCGTTAAAAAATTTAAAAAAAAGTGTCAAGCACCCAGCGATGGGAGGAACTTCCCATCGATGGGTTGGGAGGTTCTGAAACAAAAGCAAGCACTCACCCAGCGATGGGATAAACTACCCATCGATGGGTAAAGGTGTTCTGGAAATCTGTTAACCATTTTTTAAAAAATAGAGTCAATAACCCATCGATGGGAGGAAGTTCCCATCGATGGGAAGAGGGGTTTTGAAAGCAAGAAGCTTCCCTCCCAGCGATGGTATAACCCACCCATCGCTGGTTCCCCCTGACTTCCGGAATTCTTCACTTTGGACCGTCCCTGCAAAAAAGAACAGCACTTTGGTACCCAAAGTAAGTCTATGGGTCCTTGGGGGTTAGTTTACCTTTGTTGCCCACACACACACCCAAAATATGTTTCCATATGCGCGCACACACATATACGATGAAATGATTGTTTAGGAGTTACCTTGGCCAACCCATCGTCTCGTGGTTGGCGGGTTCCAATCTACCTGAACGGAGTGCCGATATCTCGGTGTGATTTGTGTCGGTTCCGGTAACGGAATGTGGACATTCTTCTTTTCGTCAAAGTAGAAGAAATAATAAGGTTTCTTTTGTGCATTGTCCTGTGGAGATTATTTATGATTTGAATATCCTTTTCCAAAGGATTTCTTTTCATTAGCACCAAATACGTTGTGTGTTTCATTGTAGGTGAAGTGCCTATGTCTGGTGAAACACACGGGAGCTTTATGTCCTACCCTATTGCAATAGTGGCATACTACGTTTGGGTTGAACATGTGCCTAGGTTGATAATAGCTAGGGGGCCTAACCATATTCATCCTATTTTGGGAAAATATTGGTTTTTGAAAACTCTCTCTTCTAGGTGTTCTAGCATTATTTTGTCTATTTGAAAAATTAATTTTATGCACAAAATCATTTTGATAGTTTTTCTTGGGTTGTCTAACATGCACATTTTCATTCCTAGGCTTTTGTCTAGGTTGTCTAGTGTCCTTAGGTTGACTAGATTTTCTATTATCCTGATTTTTACTTTTCTTATGTTGAGCCTTAGGAGGTTGTCTAGGTGTTTGCTCAACGTTTTTATCCTTAGATTCATTTTTATCAAAACCTATTCCTTCTTTAGAAAAATGCATGGTGTCAAGGAGTAAATTAAGATTTTTGTGCGGAGTATTAAATTTCTTAACCGTACTCTCAAGT